AAAAAAAAAAAAAAGGGAAGGGAATCAAAGGGATCAAAGGGGTCTGGTACTTCAAGGAAAATTACGTATTATTTACTATCGGTGGCATTTCAAGCTTTTGAAGCAAAAGCTGAAACCAAACAGCATTCAGAGTTTTGCAGTTTCTCAGTACTGTAATATATTCCTGATGAGACGGGAGTGATTACCAATGAATGTGATCTTTTATGCATAGAAATGTGTCATCATTTGGAAGCCCATTGGACTCGGTGAGCTAATACCGTCCAAATAACTGATCATAGATAGTCTAATATCTGGGTACAAAGGGTTTAAGTTCATAGTTCAAAATAGGTGAATGAATTTTAATGTAACAAGAACAGCAGGCACATTGACTTAGCTTTATATTGCATATTGTAATTTGCACTTTAAAGCTATGAATGCTGGCTTGTACTGACGTATCAATTAAGAATATGAACAACTATTTGAAAAGGCTAAACATTCCTTCTGTACTACATACTATTAAAAAATGAGTTTGGGGGGAGTGTGAGATGGCTCAATGAGTACTGGTGTCACCAACAACTCTGGCAAACTGAGTTCCACCTCTGGGAGGCAGACGGTAGAAGAACACAACTGACCTCTACACAGAAGCGATGCACACACACAAAACAAGTGTAGTTTTATTTTAACATAAAGCATTTTGGAGGTTGAAGGTGTGGCTCCGTGGTTAGAGCATTTGCCCAACATGTCCAAGGTCTTGAGTTCTAACCCCAGGTCTACAAAACAAAAATTTAAAGTATGTATCTTTAAAAGCAATCTGCTCCAACAGTCTGAATGTAGAAGCCAATTTGAGAATCCAGCTGACAGAGTTTCTCTGTGTAGCTTTGCACCTTTCATGGATCTTGCTCTGTACACCAGGCTGGCCTTGAACTCACGGAGATCCACCTGGCTCTGCCTCCAGAGTGTTGGCTGGAATTAAAGGCGTGTGTCACCGCTACCGCCAGGCCCAGCTGACTTCTATTAAGGTAAGATACTGAAGACATATGCAGCAAAAAGTCTGGGGGGTTGGTTTTTTTGTGTTGTTTTTCGAGACAAGAGTTTCAATGTAGCCTTGGAGCCTGTCCTGGAACTCTCTCTGTAGACAAGGTTGACCTCGAACTCACAGAGATCCGCCTGCCTCTGCCTCCTGGGTGCTGGGATTAAAGGCGTGCAGCGCCGCCGCCGCCGCCGCCGCCGCCGCCGCCACCACCACCACCACCACCCAGCGCAAAAGTGTATTTTTAAAACCATTCTTCTCACACTTGGGAGGCAGAGGCAGGCAGATCTCTGAGTTTGAGGCCAACCTGGTCTACAAAGTGAGTTCCAGGACAACCAAGGCTACACAGAAGGCCCTGTCTCAAAAACAAACAAACAAACAAAAACAAAAAAAAAAAAAACCTGACTGTTCCTCCAGAGGACCCAGGTTCAATTCCCAGCACCCACATGATAGCTCACAACTGTCTTAACTCCAAGATCTAATACCCTCACACAGACATACATGCTGGAAAAACACCAGTACATAAAATAAAAATAAATAATTACAAGAAAGAGAGAAAGAGAGAGAGGAAGGAAGGAAGGAAGGAAGGAAGGAAGGAAGGAAGGAAGGAAGGAAGGAAGGAAGGAAGGAAGGCAAGCCATTCTCGCTAAACTGTTTTCATAAAAATTTATCATTCAGTGTTTCATTATCTGTGTGTGGTGTATGCACACGTGGTACAGGTGTGTCGATCTATGCACACTCAAGGCCAGAGCATTTACTCCGTCACTCTCCTTTTTTTGTTTGTTTTACTTTTTATTTTCGAGGTTATATTATACTATCTCCCCCTTCCCTTTCCTCCCTCCACCCCCCACACACACTCCTCCTTGCTCTTCCAAATCCATGGCCACTTTCCCATTCATTGTTGTCATACACATACATACGTGAGTGTGTGTGTCCTAAATACCTGCTCAGTCTATGTTACTGCTATAAATGTTTTCAGAGCTGACCACTGGAATTGGAGAACCAACCGGTGTGCTCTTCCCTGGGGAAGACTACTTCTCCCTCTCTCAGCATCCCTTAGTTGCCTGTAGTTCTTTGTGGAGGGTTGAGGCCTTTTGTGAACTCTTTCTCTGTCTACTTTAGCATGTTTATTGTCTTTATTCAGTTCATCTCTAGGCTGCCATGTTGGTGAGACTCTCTGAGTGTGGCTTCTGACATTCCTAGGAGACACTCGAAGCACACTCCCTGATCCTCTGGGACTTATTTCTGCCCCCACCCCCACCCCTTTAGAAATGCTCCCTGAGCCTAGGAACCTTTTAGAAGGGTGTGTGGGTTGAGATTGGGCACCACAACTCTGCATTTTGATTGGTTGTACTTTTCTGTAATGCTTTCCATCTGGTGCAAAGAGAAGTTTCTTCCTTTTTGCTTTCTTTTGTTTTTGCTTTGGATATTTTGTTTGATTGTTTGTTTTGAGACAGGGTGTCTTTTGTGTAGTTTTGGTGCCTGTCCTGGATCTCACTCTGTAGCCCAGGCTGGCCTCGAACTCACAGAGATCCGCCTGCCTCTGCCTCCCGAGTGCTGGGATTAAAGGCGTGCCTTTTTATTTTAAACCGGCAGATTTTATTTTATATAAATGAATGTTTTCCTGCATGTAAGTGCAGCACTTATGTCTGCTGTGCGCAGATGCCGGAAATGGTTAGTGGACCCACTGGGACTGGATTACAGTTGTGAGCGGCCATGTGGATGCTGAGGATCAAACCACAGGGTCCTCTGAGGAAGTCAGTTCTCTTACCCATGTAGTTCTCTCTCCAGGCCACCCTCCTCTTGAGACAGGGTCTCAAGGTCTGAACCTGGAGCTCAGCCAGCAGCCAGCAGCCAGCAAGGCCTAGCTATCCTTTTGTCTCAGCTCTCCAAGGCGCTGAGGAGAGAGCTCCATGGAGCTATACCTGGTTTTCACAGTAGTAGTGGCGATTTGGACTCAGATCTCTGTGCTTGCACAGCGAGAACTTAGCTCCAGAGCTCTCTCCTCAAATCCTTCACTGTTGCTTTTGTTTGTTTGAAACAGGGTCTCTCTACATAGCCCTGGCTGTCCTGAATTCACTGTGTTGACCAGGCTGGCCTTGAATTCAGCAGAACAGCTTGGTTCTGCCTCCCCATTGCTAGGACTAAAGGCATGTCCCACCATGCCCACCTACAGTTACTTTTAAATAAATTATTAAAAGTATAATATTTAGTTTTTTTCTTCTGTTGAATGCCAACAGCTGTAATGCAAATAAAAACTTCCCATGTCTTCAGTAATTTTTAGAAGTGTAATGGAATCCCAAGATGTGGTTGGAAATCATATTTCTAAAATGCATCAGATCATGCCCTCCCCCGCCCCAGACAGGGTTTCTCTGTGTAGCTTTGCACCTGTCCTAGAACTCACTCTGTAGACCAGGCTGACCTCAAACTCAGAGATCCACCTGGTTCTGCCTCCCACGTGCTGGGATTACTGGCACCAGATCTTGTTTCAAAAGTCCTTGCATTTGCCTATCAGCCTCCACTTCCTGTTGCTGTCCTGGTGTTCTATGGCCTTTCCCTTCCTGCAACATTTGGGAGAGGGGAGCAGTGAGGCAGGGTTTCTCTGTGTAGCTCTGACAGTCCTGAAACTCGATCTGTAGACCCAGACCGACATTAAACTCGAGATCACCCAGCCTCTGCCTCCAGAGTGCTGGGATTAAAGGCGTGTGCCACCACGCCCAGTGAGTGACTCCAACGGCTTTATTGATGTAATCTTGAACTCAGGAGATTCTCCAGCCTCTGCCTCCAGGATGCTGGGATTAGAGGCGTGCACCCAGCGACTCATATAGCATTTATTGTTGTGCCTTCAGGAAGTCGAACACACTGCTGCTCTTGAACCCACTGCACTGACAGGCCCTATTAGAAGGGAAACAACTTCCCACGCTCTGCATGGCTATTTCTTTTGATTCCTTCAAGTCTTTTCTCAAATGTCATCATCGCAATAACTTAGCATCATAAGCATAGTATTTAAAGTTCTGAATCCTTCAAGCCGCCCCGATCCACCTGCATCTTCTAACCCTTATATCTGCTTTAGCCTCTCTCTCTCTCTCTCTCTCTCTAGACTGGCATAATGTATGCTCTGGTGAGCACTGAATGAGTGAAAAAAAATTCATTCACCATTTCTGAAGACATATGTCATAAAAGTGTGTATAACGGTGGTGGCCCACACCTTTAATCCCAGCATTGGGGAGGCACCGGCAGGCGGATCTCTGTGAGTTCGAGGCCAGCCTGGTCTCCAATGCGAGTTCCAGGAAAGGCGCAAAGCTACACAGAGAAACCCTGTCTCGAAAAACCAAAAACAGTGTGTATAACGGACTGAAGGCAATGAATGCTTAAAACCTTGATCTACAGAACCCTCCCCGAATCCCACCCAAGGAACACGGCAATCCACTACAAAGGATAAGATAAACTTTAAACTTTATAAAATTGATAAGGACGACAATCGACTATGGGGAAGAAAAAAAGCGGACTCGAAACGCGTCAACACTCCCGTGCGGTCTTCTCCCGCGCTTGCCGGTTCTAGCACCGCTCCTCCCGCACAGTCCCCAGGGGTCCCGACGACGGTCTCTCTCTCTCTCTCTCTCTCTCGGCGACTCGTTGGGAATCGTCCGCGGGTAGGCAGGCCCGAGACGAAGGAAGACCACACAGCACAGGACGACCACGCATCCAGGAGGGAGCTCGAGGAGGAGGAGGAGGAGGAGGAGGAGGGGAGGGGGGTCCAGGGCTTGGCCGGCGGGGAAGCCTGGCCAGCGCTCGCCTCAGTTCTCCTCGGGCTTGTCGGCCGGCGGCCCGCTGGGCTGCA